GCACTTTATAATGAAATATTGTAATCTAACAAAATATAATTGATCTCCCATTCGAGGGACCTAACACCAATATCGGAACTACTTTCAATCTGCTTCCTGACATAAGAGTCTTTGGAGGAAGACTGTGAAGGTCAGTAAGAAAATAACTCACGTGTTCTTTCTTTTCATATAACGTTTATCTTAACATGTGGCTAGTTGACATATTCCAAGAAAAAACAAAGAAACACTATAGGTTCTCGAAAATATTTGAGGGTGCCAGCAAAATGTAAATGCTTCAAATGGGGGAGATTTGAAGTGCGTCTTTGACTGTACTATTCTACTTTACCGCAATGGTGAGTTCTATTCTGGAAATAAGAACATGTCCAGGATAAGGTCATATAGCACAAAAGAATCGTTTTGTGTACCCTCCTACACACACACCTTATTTTCAAGCACCACCCATGTTACCTGCTATCCGCCTCTGACGTGGTATCGAAACGATGATAACTGAATCAAACTACACACAAATATACACGTATTTACGCAGCTCCCACCCCTCATCACGTGTTAGGTGTATACTTATTTGGTTTTAGTATACAAAATTACACATAACAAAAGCATTTGAAGCAAATCAGTTACGATATTAACTTCCCAACATCTGGCAAAGACATGCATTTTCCCTAAATTATCGGTCTATAGCGTGAATATACTGTCAAATTGTAAGACACATTCAAACATATTTTCAACATTGGTTGACAGATAGTTCAGAAAGAAAACGCACTAGTTGAAAAGGACAACATAATAGGCATCATCCTAAGTGTGTAATGCGATCTAAATAACCTTTCATGAAATGAGCGTAAATTGGATATGTACAAGAAGAACGCTGAAGAAGCCGGTGGGAAATCAAGGGATATTACTGACGTGAGATACGATACACTTGCTTCATGTATGTCTTGTATCATGAGTCAAACGCGGACTTGAGACATTGCGGTATATATATTATCTAATATAGCTTTCGAAGGTTAGAAATTTTATCATAAGGATATAAAGTTAGAGATACATGCTATAATTCAAAAGTGACGGATACGCATTTATCGATAATAATAATATTGTTTTGATCATTTGATGGAGTGATCTGCTCGACAGACTGGCGCTGTGGTAATGGGAACAAGGGACAAAAAGTACCTCACGTCTCAAATTGTATTTTCCCTTCGCTGTAGTCGTTACATTGCTGAGGGGTAGCAATAAGCTGTTTATCCCACATGTCTTATAAACACGATAATAACCAGATATTTAACCATTGCTTGTGCAAAAGCATAATATTTGCTAAGCAAGATATTTATTTCAAAGTTTTTAATATTGACTTCGATTCATTTAAAACATTAAAAATAAATTTCAATTCAATGAAATACTAAGAAACTCGTCAATATATTAAAAAGCAGGATATCCGTAATTACATCTGAACAATCTCAATGGAATAATTACTAATGTGTCGAGTACGTAATTTTCTTCTGAATTTTGACTGGCTGTCTAGAATAAGGTTTGCTTCTGATGGTTTGTTACCGTGGACCCTACTGGGTGCTGCTTCGTCAATTAGGGACAAAACTGTCATTGAACATTAAATAGACAACACTTCCTATCAATTCTTACAATACGATGACATTCCTGAAGAGGTCATGAATAAATGCAATTAGTCAAAATACGTATCACCTCTTTGGACAAGTATTGCATGGATACATCCGTGTTTCAGCAGTATATCACACTTAGAAGCCTATCAACAAACATGGTCTCTGCGAAACACATATTACATTACATTTTTAAAACTAAATACAATTATGAACTACCTCAAACCCCCACCAGAAGATATTCTGAAAGCCAGACACACCTTCATATGAGCTGCGCATTTATGTAAAGAATGAGAACATACTCACCATACTGAGCTGCTTGGCATAACCATGATAAATAACTCTGTATGATTACTAGTACCCAATCTATTCTTAGCGAAAATGCAGTTCTTTGAAGGTCTTTATATACAGTTATCACAAAACTATTACTTGAACTACTTCATTAAAAGTGCATAGAGAAGGCATTGTGACTGGCATGGAACGTTGCTGATTGGACATGCTAAGCAGATCGCTCTTGTGACTCCACATATGAGCTGCGTACAAATTAGATATCACCTGAAACAGTATTTTAAGCAGAAATATTATTTTTCAATAAAAAAGTAAACTCATGATTGTGAAATACTCGATGTATGGTTGCCCAATTTATTCTTTGCGAAGATGAATTTCTTTGCCGTGAATAATGCATAGGAATGACGTGCATGTTGATCTTGGGAATCCACATTTGAGCGGCCCACGAATACATAAAAATCAGATGAAACCTGAAACAGTATTTTAAGCAGATTCTTTTAACAAAAATGTCAACTCACTGGTGTAAAATACACGCTAGCTTGGACCTAAAGAAATAAAACACATTGAATAACCAAGGGAAGAAAGCTATGAACACCCAGTGTGGATTATAACACGTGAGCTAAAGCTCAATGTCTCAAACACTGATCTTCAGCCCTGGTCTGATAAAGATTCGTCGTTGATACGATGTTTACCATGGGCAATTCACACACTGTTTAACTGAATCTTGTTTTCGAAGCCAAAAGAACCAAACCTTTACATTCGCTTCATGCATGCAACACACAAATATAAATTGCACTTCCTATTTTATGATAATAATGCAGTAATCTTGAAAACTATGTCAACAATGAGTTTATCCATTCCCCCTGGAAATTACCATCAGATGTGGATGAATCTCTCTGTAAATTGAACACGTGTATGTGAAGGTCGTTTCTCACAGCCGCTGTTTTAGACAGTCGGTCATAATGTAACACAGCGCGCTATATATGGTATGGTATGGTATGGTATGGTATGGTATAGTACTGAAAGCCCATTTCTTTCAAAAACAAAGATTTTCAGATGACCGAAAAATATATATGCCACTCTCTCATGTGTCTTGAAATGAAATGAACACACCAACCCAAGTGATCATTATGTGAGATCTCTATTCATCAGACAGTCATTTATGTGTTTTTCCAAACAACATGTCTTCGAATCTACAAAAGCACTGTTTACATACGAAAAGGACATATCAATCTTTCATTGTACGCTATTAAATTTGTCTTTCATATGATGCACAGAAAAGACACATAATGTTTGAAGTAATTAAATATACGGATATATATAATAAATGTTGAATGGTTTCGCTAATGTCTCGGTCCAATCTATTTGTACACACGGGTAACAGTTACCGAAACTCACGTTTAGCACGTGCAAAATGGCGCAAGTGAGTTTGTTTTAGGCTTCAACCTGCCATACTGTCTTGAACGCAAATTCTGTTGTACACGAGCACAGATCACTCTGTGTGGCCATGAAGAGATGTCACACAGTTGCACATATACGGTTTTCAGGTGGGTTATAGCGCGGTAGTGATCAAAGCAACGTAGCTATTAAAACTGGATTTCAAAAAACAAACAAAAAAAACCAACAAAAACAACGTAGCCCCAAACTCTATTCTCCCAGCTCTCGTTAACCTATCACATCCTGGTGGTCGTTATATGGAGGCGAGTGAATTATCACGCTTGTTTTTCAGAGGTATTCCAAAGCTGTGGGAGAATACGGCCATGTAATAATCCGTGCAGATGTTTCCTCTAAACATTCCTGGTTTGTGTTTTACGCGCTTTGCAGATAACAAAATCTTGCTAAATATTTATCCCCTCAAGCATAACTCCCCTGCACTTGGTCTAACTTTGTGTCATATACCCACATAAACGATGTTGCTAAGACACATCTTGGGTTCAAACTGAAGCTAGCGACAAGGTATTTACTCTCCTTCCGTGTGAGATAACGTGCCAACAGTGTTAGTCATACTGCACCTAATGGTGTCAATTTTATGCGATAGCCATGATAACTTCTACGCCTAAAATCAATTACAAAACGTACAGTAAGTCATACCCGTTACAACTAGAGTTGAACAATGTTTACCTGGTAATAAACAGATTAAACTCGTTTTGATTTTGAAGCCATCAGCTGAACAGGACAAGGGGGGTAACTCCTTTTTACGACCGATCTCGTTATTAGCATCATCTTTACCTCCCTTGATGTCCGATTTAGCACATATCGCAATTATAACTGTACAACGATGAAGTAAATTGTTTATATTTCGAGGGTTTATATTTTCTAATTCACGACCAAAAATGCAAAGTACATATATGTAGTATAATTTGTTTGCAAAGTATATTTGGGATTTGTGCCAGAAAAACCGCTGAAATACAATTTTTGTCTCTGATATGAAAACAAAATCCCGTGGTATAGATACATCTGGTGGTATATATTTTGCCTGTTGACAGAATCCATCTGGTATCCATATCTATGTCGGTGGAGTTACATCATCAGATAAGCTATCTCAGCACCATATAGTTGACCGACAATCATTACCATACAGTGGCGGTTCCAAGGGGGGTTGGGGTGTGTTCAGGGGTTCGAATCCCCCCTTTTGAAAATGACTTAAGACCACATTGAAAAAAATAAATTGCGTTGGCGGAGCCAAGGGGGGTTCAGGGGTTTTAACCCCCTGAAACACACACACACACACACACACACACACACACACACACACACACACACACACACACACACACACACACACACACACACACACACACACACACACACACACACACACACACACAAATTCCTGGATCCGCCCATGCCGTACATTTTAATCTTGAAGCCACACTAGAACCTGCGACAGCTGCCATAAAATAAATCTAAAATCTGACATAATGGTGAGAAAGCAACTAAGGAGACCTGTGTGTGGATTAAACTGAACATAACTAGGTTGACCTGTGCTTTCAAGAGCGCGTGCTCCTCGCAGCACTTGAAGCCGATTGGAGGCCAGGGTCAGGAGAGTACAAAGTCAAGAATTAAGTAGGGAAACATGCAACTTTCTCGTTCATTACATGGACTGACCTGTCGCTGAAGATTGTTACATCGTCGTCAAGCTGTAAGAACATACATGACCCTGTCATCCCAAACGTTGTTTGTTTCCTCATTTCCTGCAATGAGTATTTATCGAATATAGTCATTTCATGGCAATATACAACAACACAGGATAGCCAAGTGGTGAAAATGTTCGCTCTGAACGATTAACAATGGATATCGGGTTCGATTCCCCCATGGGTACACTGCATGAAGCAATTGCAAATTTCTGATAAACGGTGTCGTGCCATTGCTTGAATATTGATAAAAGCGTTGTAAAATCACACGTACTTACGCCAGTTACATGAACGCTGATATTTTAAAATCAATTAAATCCTTGCTCGGACTGGTAAACGCAGTCCGGTATTTCGAGAGCAGAGGTACAGAAAAGCTGGGTATCTGCGTAAATTACGCAAATTATTATGTGAAAACTTACTTCCTATTAAGTCTGTTGCGTACAATTACGCACTGTTATTTTTGGTAAAAACTCAATAAATTTGATCTTACATGCGTACACACAAAAACGTCAAATTTTAGCTTGCGTACCGGTGAATTAGTTTCTGTTACCAAACCTACTGAATTTGGGGTAAGCAAACCCATGTGCTACAGATGGTGGCTACCGAGGATGGATAAAATAACTTAGGTATATTGAAAGGTTCTATTTCAGCACATGAACTTGGCAACTTGCAGTCTTTCCTATCGTTTCTCATATTACAGATCAAATATAAATTTTAAAAAACACATAAACCAACGTCATAACGTTCTACACATTCTGAACTGCCCGCAACTCTTTCCTACACTTCACCATGCATGCGGAGGGTTATACTTTTCCCGCTACTCGGAACATTCTGAACAGCAAATTACATCCCCCTATATCTACTGACCACGTTCTTCACAGGGAAAGTCCAGCATAACATGGCTTTCTCGGAAAGGTGACCACGGACAGTTTTAGCTTGTAACCCATGTCCAGGCACCTTGGTCGTCCAGGTTTAACCTACAAGCTAATTTACATTGAAACGTCATCAAATATGAGTGAGTGAGTTTATTTTTTACGCCGCACTCAGCAATATTCCAGCTTTATGGCGGCGGTCTGTAAATAATCGAGTCTGGACCTGACAATCCAGTGATCAACAGCATGAGCATCGATCTGCGCAATTGGGAACCGATGACATGTGTCAACCAAGTCAGTGAGCCTGAGCACCCGATCCCGTTAGTCGCCTCTTACGACAAGCATAGTCGCCTTTTGTGGTAAGCATGGGTTGCTGAAGACCTATTCTACCCCGGATCTTCACGGGTTTCATCAAATATGTCGAATAACGCGCCTATATGTAGTGCAGGTTTGAGATCATAATGCCGAAAACGATTGTGCCAGGGCAATATAGCTGCATCGATTTATACAGCGATACATCATCGACTGAATGTTGGTGGAGCTGATGGAATAATCTGAACTTAAATCCTCAACGGCGCCTACATTATCTTATTTACGAATTTGTGACCAATGGCTTATGGACGATTGCGCTATGATCCCGTAAAATCCCCTTTGATGTGTTCAACTAAGCTTTCAATAGTTTGTAACCGTTACACCGACATCCACTGTCTATTGTAAATGCTGTAATTGACTCCGGGATTCTTTGTTAAAATATCGTTATTTTGATTTAAATGAGAAATAAATGGAATCCACGTATAGAAGATACAATGTACAATTTTATTCTGTACTAATCTCTTTGTACTAAAGCAAATACTGTACAGTTGATCCATAACAATCTGGTAAAATGAAATATAAAAGAATGCTTGTAATAATGTTTTCTAAGTTAGCATTTTCTCGATATAAACACGAGTTATCATATACGTTTGTACCATATGCTAGGGGACCCTGTTAGCGACGAAGAGGTGGTGGGGTAGCCTAGTGGTTAAAGCGATCGCTCGCCACGTCGAAGACCCGGGTTCGATTCCCCACATGGGCACAATGTGTGAAGCCCATGTCTGGTGTCCCCGCCGTAATATTACGGAAATATTGCTGGCGTAAAACTAAACTCACTCACGTAGCGACGTGATTATCTGTTTTTTGCTTAGTTAAAGTACATCATTGTTTATGAATGAATAATATGAATAGGTTCTTATTTGACTGTATTTCCAAAATGATCACCCAATAATTATTTTGGAGGGTTATGTTTAGAATCTGGCAAGGTCTGCGCTGCGCAGCTATGAATAAAACATGTGATTCCATGTGAAGCATTAATTCCATTCCGGTTTTTTATGCAGTGTTGTGCCCAGGATAGTGGGCTAGGGTATTGATTTTACAGTCGCTTCCTATGAAACGTATCTCGTCCATTGAGGTTACGCCACGCTGTGACTGATTACAATTACTTTTTTTTGTAAGCAACATGCAATATACTTGCATAGTAAAGAAAATGCTACTAGATTGGGTCCGCTGAGCACCTTAACTGTTTTAGTATAGCGTGTATTCCTTGAACAATGTGTTTTACACATTAACCCCCTGGATGCCGAGGTGTATATTTCTGATGCACATTTCCATAACATCTACAAGGGGAATATTCTAAGACGTTTAGTGAATCCGGCCCCTGTTTCTGTACATATATTTTGACCACGGCTGCACCATTACTAACAGAGTACTATCCTAATCTTAAAATGTAATGAAATAACTGAAAGAATTACACCATTTTAGATGACGCCATTGCTTGTTTAATGGTTTTGAGGAAAGAGAACATTGGTTAGTTTAATAACTTGAATAGTGTATATCTTTTTTATAAAAGGTCTCCTTTTTGTCTGTTAAAATTTGACTCTCTTTCGACCGAATACTAAAGGACTGATTTTACCATTTTAATGACGTCATGAATAGATAAACAATCAGACGGTTTGACTGTGTATCTTAATGTAGACAAAACTCGCATCTGTTTGTCATCAATTTAACGTAGATGAAAAGAATATAAAAAAAAGAAAACATATACACAAATATATTTTTAGGATAAGATTTAGTTCATGATTATGTGACTATTTACCTTCATAAGTATACAATGAAAGATGCAAAATGACAGGTCTTTTTGTATAGAACTACTAGAATAATGATGTTAGATTTGTCGAAAGGAAGGCATAGCGTGGTTCATATTTTCTTTTACAATTCGTGTAGAAATATAGTTACAGTTTGATATCCTGTCATCACAATATTTTCTAATCGAATATGAATTGACTATATTAGGGAAGGCAATGAGAATGAATCCTAAAGCGTTTGTGACAAACGCGCACCTGGCCAATCATTCGTAATTATTTTGTCCAAAAAAGACATCAACAAATCATGAACAAGACAAATCCTTTTAAAATGTGTGCATAAACATTTCATAAAATATCATTTTCATTTATAATGTCTGGTTTACTTACAAGGCTTAATTAAATCGCTGTCATATGAAAATACAATGATGAATAGTGCACATCATAAGAACTAAAGTACGTGTACCATGTAAAGGTTATAAATATGGTGTACCACGCTGAATTCAAATGTGTCATTTTCTTATGTAAATATTGATCAAACAAGCAAAAATATGCAAAGGATAAGAAATGTAAAGCCTATATGCACGTATATGATACTGAACAAGGTTAGATGTAGATAATGAGATTTGTTTCGTATTTCGTATTGAGCCAGACAAATGAGAAAATGCAACAGTATAAATACTGAATTTTTCTTGATTTACATTTACAAGAAGCCCAGCTGCAGTCTTACGAGCACATCCTACGTTTTAACACCCAATATGTTTCGTTTGGTTTCATCAAGACACTTGATTTTGATTCAAAAGACCATTGTAATTTGTTAGTTGACTACCCGTGAAGGTCCGGGTTAGAATATTGATCTTCAGTAACCCATGCTTGGCGTAAGAGGCGACTAACGGGATCGGGTGACTTGGTTGACACATGTCATCGGTTCCCAATTGCGCAGATCGATGCCCATGCTGTTGATCACTGGATTGTCTGGTCCAGATTCGATTATTTACAGACCGCCGCCATATAGCTGGAATATTGCTGAGTGCGGCACAAAACTAAACTCACTCAATTGTTAGTTGACTCTAAAACGTTTGAGGTATTCAGTGATATGTTTGTCGCAGCTGAGTGTGAAATATACGTGATGTGTGTTTTGTAAACACTACTGCGGTATCCAATATGGCAGAAAACTCGCTTCGACGTTCGTGTATTTTCCAAAACATCCCATTCTAGGTTTATCGGTGACGTTTCAGAATTACCATTGGTGATTTGATGAAAACCAGATATCAGCGATCATTAACATGCTATTTTTTAAATTCATTCCTCCGAATAATTATCCGATTTTCACATTTCAAAACATACAGTGGTAACACCAATATATAACGCCTTGACGACTAGCAATTTCGTAATGTGTCAACAATGGCGACATTTACGATGTTCCCAGTTTTCAGAGGTGATTTTCATCATTTCTTGTCTGCCTAAGATCATAGTGGATGGCATAAAAAACAGGACATTTCTCGCAGAATTCACAACTGTTAACTGCATTTGTGTGCGTGATTTATGTTGAAGTTTATTCGACTTCAAAGGGGCGGTTGAAGAGGACGGAAATGTATCCCTCTGGCATCCATCTACGAGCAATAATACGTTCAGGACAACGCAGAGTTTTCATGTTCTCAAAGTTAATGACACACGATACATACGTGTATGTACATGTGCTGGCAAGGTTTAGTCTAGATGTCCTACTTCATCAGAGGGATGCTGACATTACAATGGTGTGAGCGCCCTTGTATATACTGTCGCAGAACAAGGTGCAAGCATGCTCTTCACATAAACACATGCGCAGTGATGTCTAGCATTATTAAAAACAGTGGGTGATAGATAGGTTGGCGTGTTTATATGTCTGAATAATACGGGAAAGCAAACCCTACCCTCTTCCATCCCTAGTTATATATAGACACTTACCTGCACTTACTTCTTTCTTACTTCCAACCTTCCCTCAAAAGTCAAAGCAAGACGAGACATTGCCTAGAAAAACAAACGTTTTCGTAGATGGTCTCCACAAATTACAGTACAAACAAACCAAATTTCATTAAAGTTCTTTAAAACGCGTGTGTTATGGACACAACAATAGTAGCATTTGTCTTAGCTTATGTTCTTCGCCGGATTAAAGTAATATTCTTACCTGCTTGGTGGAATTAATTTGATATTCGCCGATACAAACGCCACTTCTGCTACCGTAACGCCTAGAAATAAAACGCATGGAAAACTCGTGCATCAGAAGTGAGCCCTGATTGGCTGAACTCGTAACCATGACATCACGTGCCAGAGCTTGCGAACACCTGCATGAAATATACAAGGCATCGAAAGTGATTTGACATTCGTTTGTGTAAACAGTCTCAATCCTCGAAAAACATAAGGAATATCTTTTGGCCATTTTCAGGTAGACTAGGTTATTAACTAGTGCTGTGGTTGTATATATCTATGTATCTAGTATTAAGGATTATTGTTACAATAACACGCAAGATATGCGGTTTGATAGATCTTGTGTGGTTGCATGGTTGGGTGGTTGTTTTACGCCACACTCAGCAATATTCCAGCTTTATGGCGGCGGTCTGTAAATAATCGAGTCTGGACCAGACAATCCAGTGATCAACAGCATGGGCATCGATGTACACAATTAGGATACGATGACATGTGTCGGCCAAGTCAGCGAGCCTGACCACCCGATCCCGTTAGTTCAACTAGTTGTGTCTTATGACAAGCATGGGTTGGCGAAGATCAATCCTCACGGGTATATATATATATCTTTTGTGTTCGGAATGACCTAAATAAAATCTGTCATTTGTACCCATATCAAGTGTTTTGATGTTATAATACATCTTTAATTTGTTGTCTGTTTTCGATCCTCGATGGAGGCCCGGGGGGACCAGTCATCAAAGTAACGAAGTTCCTTTTACAGAGTTGCGTCCCTTAGGAACGCTAAACCCAATGTGGATTCGAATCCCAATTCGACCTGTGCTTGTGAGTTTCACCAATGCAGCGAACGCCTGAGACCTTCATCCAAGATGCCAGGTGACTCGCGGTAGTATGATTCAAAGACAGTTAAATATAGCGTTAAGCCTAACCGTAAAGTGACTCATTAACACGACCCTCTATAATACAGTTTATCATTTGGCAAACTAAAATGATCTCTACCATTGACTTATTTACCACTTTTGTGACTATAGCTTAAGTGTGTGTCTGGCACGAGAAATGACATCCATTCCAGAATCACTTAAATTTCACTTTTTTCGTACCTATGATGAAATCGGAATTTTGTTCAAGAACTTTGCATCCGATTTTCAAAATGGCAGCCATGTCAAAATGTTCGTGTATGGTTGTTACGAATTGCCTCTGTATGGCTATCTTTGTTGCATAATACGTGTAATACACCACTGGAGTAATCAAACCAACATGTCTGGTTTATGCCCATTAGTGATAACATCTGAATTGTATCAACATGTAATCAGACTTTCAGACCAAGCTGGTCATACAGAGATGCCAACCCTGATTTAGCCCAATTAGTATTTTGGCCAAAAACTGATGCAAAAATTAGTATTTTGGGGGCAACATTAGGATTAACTTTTCCAAAGAATGTTCATATTTTTTTGCAAAATATAGATATATTCTAAGAACTTGTTATTAACATTGTATTCACCTAAATCAGTAGTAAGTATCCACATGATACTGAATAAAATGTGGTTGAAATTTATTGTGTATGGTAGGTATGCTATTTGGTAATTTAATTTAATGTATTTTTTAAAATTCATATATTAAAACTGCTATCGTAGAAGTGTATCTTGCATTGTTTTTTCGTAATGACTAATACAATTGTATGGGTTGGCATCTCCAGTGTTTGAAAACATGATGGGTGAAGAAATGTTTGTCTATATTTTTGTTTTGAAGCAGTGATGCCACCTTCCCAGCAAGGCTAGAGTTAGGGGTGGGTCAAGCATAACAGAATTTGAAATACCATACCTAGGACAATCGAAACTGATCCCTTAAAAGATTACACCTATTATTATACAGGAAATAATCATTATAAACACAAATCAATTCTAAATCTCTTTATTTCACACTTTAAAAATGCTTTTATAGTCACTCTACAGAAAAAATATGAAAATGCTTTTACACCCATAAGCTAAATATACAGCATCACAACACACACGCAATGCAGCACACAGATAGCTGGCCAGGTACTTGAGAGTAGTTTCCTCATTCAAATGTAATCTAACTAACACCCTTTGGACAAGTTGTCTATTATATAAACCCTTAACGAATAGACTGCAAGCCCTGCAACTTGCTGCTGTTGTAAATCCTACAATTCTGAAAGTGTCAGAGTAGTTAATCAGATGACAATGAGGAAAATGCCCTGCACTACCAAGGATGGCTGCCTGTCCACAATGATAAGCCTGCATTCATATTCACTTTTATATCCTGACACTGAAGTCCACATCTAACATTTAACCAATCAGTAAAAAGTACTGAACACTAGAAAATAGTACGATAAAAATATCCAAATATCTATTACATCAAATAATTTAAAAGTCTTTACACATATGTAACTACTGGTGAGATGTACCAGAAATAATGGTGATACAAACTCGTGAAACTATGGATGCAACCACCGAGCTGCGACAACCCAGCATGTGAGTGATGGTGTTAGTGATCCATCCTAGCTATTCTAGGGAATACTATTTCCACTCACTCCAGATAATACCATTGGGAAGTAAGAGTCCAGTAACACTGTGACAACCCAGCATGTGAGTGATGGTGTTAGTGATCCATCCTCGCTAATCTTGGGAATATTATTTCCACTCACTCCAGATAATACCATTGGGAAGTAAGACTCCAGTAACACTGTGACAAACAAATCACATAATGTAACCATTTGTGAAATCAAACCAGTGAACGCATAATGTCCATTTTAGGCTCAAACCCCTGAACGCGTGTCCCTCTATATGCTTCTATGGGCATGGTTAGCCCTTCGAGAGGATGTACAGTGATTCTACGCTACCTGACAACGACAACAGGCGATATGACGCGTGCATAACATACAGTCAGCAGATACAGGATGAGGGGTCGGGATATGTGAAATCTAGAACAGTGATTAATAGATTGGACGTAAAGTGTCCATACAGCTAACAGTTGCTTAAGACAATTGATGGAAAAATTGATGAAAATGACATTAAAGTACAAATATGGGTTTCGCTGAAATATGATCAGTCATTTTTCTGATCATATTTCATGTTTTTGAGAGCTATGCCTCCATCACTTGTAATGACTCATTCAAAAGTGGTCCAGTAATCAATTGGAATTTTATGTTTAAATTAAAAAAAAATCAACCTTGACAATTTTATCAGTGTGCAAGTTGATGAGGCATATAAACATTTGAAGCATTTCCAAATTCTACTTGAAGACCTCTGATAAATGGCCAACCAGTCAAGGGAGATAATCGAGTCAATATCTCCAGCAAAGGGAGGTAAGCAGTCAAAAGCCAACAACCCTGGACAATGTTACTTCAAATGTAGCCACTACAAGTGCGAGTACAACATGCTTCAAAATTTCAGAAAAGATCATACGATGAATTTATGAAATATACAAAGGAGATAACTAGTCTAGTCTCCCATCACAGTCCCACCGATGAGCCAGTCAGTTGCTATTGCAGCAATGACCGAGGTGCCCCAGTGTGCTGACGCCTGGCTGTGTGGCCGGCAGCACGCACACACCTTGGGTTTATCACAGTCATGCTAAGCTGAAGTGCACTAATTACTGTCTAAAACAGGTACGGAAAATACCAAGAGCTCCCCGATTCTACATCATATTAATTACACCTTAAGTAGTTTCGCATATGTTGATAATTCATAAAAGTATTGATTTTAAAAACAAAAATAGATCAATGTCAAATGTGAATTTTATGCAAGAACAAGACAATTTAAAAAGAAATTCTTTTATTAAATAGTAATGATTTTTTAAATTTAGTAACTTATTTCGTTCCATTGAATAACTATAACCATTGGACTAAATTAACCAAGCTTCTTTTAATAAGTAATTATGAAAATTAACCAAGCTACTTTTAATAAGTAATTATGAATTATAAATTACTGAATTACGTTTTCAATGATAATAATTTTCAAAATTCTTTTACATACATGTTAATTTTCCTTACAAACTTATCATAGCTTGAAAGTCGACAGACATGTTTTTTACTACTTTCCACTTAAAGCGTGTATAAACCATGAAACACTCTTGATAATTTCCATGCCTGTTGAATAAAAACAAAGAATTGACCCTGGTCGAGTCGGATATGGAAGAGTGTCTATGTCCTCAGTAAAGAGCTACTTGGTGTTGTGTGTAACGCTCTGGTTACAGACAGTGAAGCAGTCATCATGGGATGCTGCACACACAGATATTTTGGATGTTGAACTTTTCCAGCACTCACTCCGTCACATAAAATACATACTGACATACACAGATAACCTTACTCATGGAACAAGAATGTTTTATACCTTCCAGAATCCAAAGACACTTTAATAAATTTTTATAAAACTTCATTTTATTACTTCCGATTTGAAAATTATAACTGATGATGTTTAAAAAAGGCTGTTTAAGTTGATGAATTTTTTGAAAATTATAACTGATGACGTGTAAAAATAGCTGTTTAAGTTTTCAATTCAGAATTAAAAGTGTATGTGAATACAACTACTTTATGGAATCTGAACCATCTACAACTAAATACTAATGAAACAATTATAAAACTGGCTACACAATGGCATACCAACACTATAATATACTGTGTTCTATATATACAAGCATTGTGAACAGACTGAGAGGAAACATTGTCACAGCAGTCTATCTCAGTGTTAAGGGCCCGAGTAACGGCTTTCTTGTCTCACACAGACAACCCCAGATCAATAACACTGGGCAATTTGGAAAACTCTCGTGATCCAGCAAGGGAGATAATTCTGTTTCCAAATATGAACACTGCTGATGATGGTTATGCTGAAGACATATTCCTTCTCATATTCTGTGGTACCTCATCTCAATGCATCCTTTATTAACCATGAATGCCAAACACAAACAGGACATGCAATTTGAAAATATGTCAGAATAACCTTTTTAAGAGACATGGATGCATCTTAAAAAATAGTTTCATAATATACATTTTAAAATTCTCAAGATTCTCTTAATGATTCAATAATTATGGTAATTTATATATTGAAATTATTTTTAGTCAAAATTATTTTAGAAATATGTCTGCATTGAAATATGTTAATGAAACAACTTTAATGCTTCACTAACGTTTTTATTATTGAAAAATGACCTGTCTTACAATATCCTGGGCATGTAATGGCATACATGATGTTTAAGGGGATGCATGGAGAAAGTGGTGTTCAAGCTACAGTGATTATATACAGCTATGGACAATATTACAAATCAATTTACATATATATACAGAAATAATTTTTCAGGCACACATGCCTTAATTTTCATACACCATTTGCCCTATAAAAACATTTTTCAGGCTGATAAATGCAAAAATAGTGATTGAAAATATGAATGCTTATAGAAATGTCATGGTCCTTGATCAATGAGGATGGAACAAAAGTCATTATAAAAGCCTCTGTCTAATGATCGCAGGAATTACACAGTTTGAAGGACAAGTTCTTCATGTTTTGTTTCTTGTCATGTAGGGCAGTAGGGTAGCCTAGTGATGAGAATGTTTGCTCATCTTGTCAAAGACCCGGGTTCAATTCCCAACATGGGTATAATGTGTGAAACCCATTTCTGGTGTACCCCGCCATGACATTGCTGGAGTATTGCTGAAAGCATCATAAAAACCTATTCACTCACTCACTCGTGTCATGAAATGCATTGGAAACTAATCCACTACTTCATTCCAGGTAGTGAGTATGTCGTGTTAACTCCACTTTCCAGCAATATCACAGCAGGGGACACCAGAAATGGGCTTCACACACTGTACCCATGGTGAGAATCGAACCCAGGGCTTTGACATGACAAGTGGATGCTTTAACTACTATGCTATCCTAGATAGAGATTATCAGATATGTCATTCTATTTAAATGTACACTTGACATATGTGAATCATGATAAAATTGTTCTATCAAGAGCAGAGCAATATCTAGAAAAACTGTTCAGGTTTAAACAAATCATGTATGTGTATAACATTCAAAAAGGGTTTTACATAATCTTATGCCACAAATAAATAAAAGATGTATTTATTAAATGAAAAAAGTGAAAAATGATTGTTCTTCACAAAAACGTGCTATCATCAGCACGTCAACCAAAAATATGTTAGTAAAATAAATAAATCGGAACCACTTTTAAACACCAGTAAAAGAAACAAACATCTCTCCCAAAATAAAGAAATATATCACAAATTGAAAAAGGTCTGAACAACATCTAAGAGTTTTGTTTACTGAAAGCAAAAAAGGAAACGTAATACGAAACAAAGACAAATAGTTAATCTTATTAACAGGTGTAAATATGGAACTTGCAAAATGATGAAATATTTTGACTTGCATAACAATGAAATAACAAGAACTGTTATAATAACAATAATGAAAACAAGAGAAAGAAATAGCACTTGATCTAAGTTCACAACCTGTACAAGTAACTACTGCTATAAATGTAAGAACATCAACAAAGATTTGCTGGTAAAACTATAATAAACTATCTGTATGCCAACACTTACAGTAAAATATATAATAAAATACTAACTTCTATATCAATTTAAAACACTAACAATTATATATTAAATTGTCAACTGTTAATGAGTTTTCTCCCTTGTTTTCATTTGTATTGCAAGTTAACAAGTAGACATGCTAAATTTGTCGTCATCGTACATCTTCATACACGTGAATCATAACCTTTATCGACATACACTTTCAATACTTATCATATTGCAAAGCCTTGTAATACCAGGAATTATTTTTGCAATCTGTATTTTTTATGCGTTTCTTATCTCAAAACACAACTAGTAAGAGAGCAGGCAGGTGGAAAGAAAAAAATATATAAGCAGGGCTGTTTTTATTCAGAAGTTTGCCAACTCAAATATTATTCTGCACCTCGTGCAAGTTAAAATAATAACTAGGTTGCACTTTGTAATATTGGGTTGCACCAGTGCAAGTAACAAAGCACTCAATCGAGCCCTGATAAGAAACATGCTTTTCCCAAATTGTGGATTTTCTTTAGATGAAACTTAGATCACATGGTAATATGCCACTTCTGTCTAATTGACGTAGAAGGACATGTTTTTCTTGGAAACAATTGTTTAATGGATGTAGAAAGATTGCAAGGACAGTCATGACTGAAAGGGTAAGACTTTTTCCTTAATCACATCAGGGAATACATTTCCTAGCGGAGAAAACTAAGACTTCTTATTTCACGTCAGAACAAAAATTCAGTGAGGGCGGAGATGGGAAACAGTGAAATAGGTACAGACTTCCTAATGGTGGTAAATAACTCATTAAAAGTTTAACTTAAATGCTTTGAAGATGACAGATTTTCAGTACATATAATACTCTGTGTGATGCCTTAACGAGACGTGGAAATGTTGATGTTAAGCTGGTGATGTTAGAGTTGATGTTAAGTTGGCGATGTTAAAGTTGATGTTTAGTTGTTGTTAAAGCTGTCGATGCTTGGCTGGTGATATATGAGCTGATGTACAACTGACAATGGTCACTTGGTGATGTTTGAGCTGATGTTGATGTTCAGTTGTAAGAGCTGACGATGTTCAGCTGGTGATGTTTTAGCTGATGTTGATGTTCTGTTGAAGCAGATGCAAAGGCTTCACCAATAATGTATAGATGATGTTCGCAAGTGATCGTTAATAAAGCTGACACTGACGTTTGGCAGGTGATGTTAAGCTGATGTTGATGTTGATGTTCAGTAGGAGAACTCCATGAGAAGGAGGTACCGGATCCGGTTCTGGCTCTCCTTGTATACAAGATATTCACTCTGAGAGAAGCTGCTTCCTGAAAACTTGGATTGGTTCACTGGCTTGCCTTGTGGAACCGTCACCTTGCCGCCATCAATGGTAAGGACCGTGTCGAGCTTGGGGTCTGAAACAAGGGGTAAAGGCTCTGACAAGGTCATTCTCAACATGGTTTCTTTCTGAATGTGTAACAGCAACACCGTTACTGGAACGTATCTGAGCTTTCGTCGGGGTAGCCTCGTGGTTAAAAAGTTCGCTCGTGACACCGAAGTTCCAGGTTCGATTCCCCACATGGGTACAATGTATGAAGCCTGCCGTAATATTGCTAAAAGCGGTAAAAACCATACTCACTCACCAAGCGCTGTTTAACTGTGAAATATTAATAATGAGTCCATTTCTTTGGGGACTGTTTTCAGTCCACCATGTGGTTGCTCAAAGAGCACTGTATGATGCAGGATTGTAAGTAATTGAATCTGGACCAGACAATCCAGTGATGGACATTATGAGCATCAATCAATGCAACTGACATGTAATTGAGTAAACCTGGCCTTCACTGCTTGAAACCAATTCTAACCCAAATTTCCCCATTGTTATATGAGAGAACAATGTCTGTGGCAGCAATGTGCCCAGTCATACAAAACTGCTGTGCAGAGTTACTTACCTTGGCTGTGGCATAATCCTATTATCATTATTCAAATCCCAGATTTACCCTGATTGTAATCCTTTCCTTTCAGTAGCTTTTACTGCAGGCCTTACTCTTACATTAAGCTACACACAGATACATTGTATATATACCCTTCACTTTAGACTAACGCTTAGTCTCGGAAAATATATAGGTTTGATGGAAACAAACAATTCCTTTTAATTTGGAAAAGAGCCATACTGAGAAGGGAGATTCAGAACCTGAACCTGAGAAAATCTAGACTTGCTTCATTTATGGTTTTAGTGTTGCAGAAACGGTAATACAGAAGGGAAAACAATGTGGTTCAGGGACTGTGAGAGAGATTACCTTCACTCATGTGAAGTTGTTTCAGGTGGTACCCTTATGGAGATTCCGAGTTAAAGTGAGTGAAGATGGTTTTACACCGCTTTTAGCAGTATTCCAGCAGGGGGCGGGGAACACCAGAAATGGGCTTCACACTTTGTACCCATGTGGGGAATTGAAACCGTGTCTTTGGCGCGAACACTTCAACCATTAGGCTACCACACTGCCCCTCTGGGTTAAAAGTGCTCCACAACTGATGCTGGTCATTAGAGATGACCTTAGGGACCGTTCATAATTTATGGCTAGCGGGGGTGATGATGATTTTAAGGGGGGCTCACCCATTTTGTTCTGTGGAGCTAGGGGGGTCAGCAATTTTGTACACACATACTAGGGGGGTTCAGCAATTTTGTACATAGAAATATGTTTAAAATTATGGTTAGAAATTATGGGAAGGGAGTGGGGTCATTGATTTTGTACATGACATGCAGGGGGGTCACTTATTTTGTACATACATGTGGGGGGGTTGTCATTCACATTGTACATGCTTCTCCACAAAAATCATCATCATCCCCCCAGCCATAAATTATGAACGGTCCCTAATGGATTGGAAGGTAACATTTGGTGATGAGGGTTGGGTTGTTTGTGAATCACCATACCTCAACAACATGGATCATTCCATATCCATCACTGGATTGTCTTGATTATTGACAGATTTCAGTCTACAGCTCGAGTATTGTATCACTGCGTTCATCACTCACCTGGTTCGGTCCTCCCCTTGGCTACAATGGAGTCGAATCCTTTGGGTGCCTGGACCAGGCTGGAGTTGTCCCGGTCGATGTGCTTCTCCTTGCCGAGCGCGACTTCATTCAGGAACATGATGCCAGTCTTGCCATTGGTCCCAACTGGGGAACAGAAACATGTCTGCTATAGATAAACATTTCTAAACATGTAGTGTCGTAACTCCCATGCTATAACATAGAGTTACGACAGTCTTAGAGCTAAGACGGCTTTGTGAAACAGGGCTCAGGGTGGTATGGTAAAGCCAACACATGACATCACACATAAAGGATACTAAATCCTTGAGAACTTCCAACTGAAACCCATCAACATTGTCATAAAAACAATAATGACATATAATGCTATATATTGTGGTATTACATGTTTATCTCATTGTAAACATTCTCCTTTGTCAAAACAAAGGTGATCATGTTGGTTGGATGGTTTGTTGTTTAATGTCGCACTAAGCAATCAAGTGATCAACAGCATGAGCATCGATCTATACATTTGGGATGCTGTTTTAGCATCAGGACACTTGTGGTCTAGTGGATTCTAGTGTTGGGAATTGGTTAAAATCTCTTAACTGATGTTTGGTTCATTACAACCAATCAATCATCGAAAATAATTGGTTAGGCCAGACCAATTCTATTTCTTGTTTAACAGATTTTTTTCCTCAGAAAACCTAAAGGCAGGAGGGAAAAAAATAACAAAATAATCACCAGTCAAAGTAATATTCCTTCTAAATACATAAGTATTTTACTTTTGGCAGTTTATGAAGTGTATATGTGGCAAAAACAATCTAAAAATATTTTCTCGTAAGTTTACATTTTTGGCCATTACAAACATTAGGATTTTATTTTTTGAGCGGGGAAAATTACTTTTTATTTTTTTTCTTATTCTTGAACAAATACAACCGGTGGATCCGTAAAAAAAAGAAAAAAATTGTCTGGCCTTAGCATGATTTATCAATTTTTCCTGGTTATGATTGTAAATGCACAAAACACTAAAGAAGAATCATTTAGCTCTTTCGGGGGGTTTTCAAATTGTACAAAATGCATTTACAAATTTAACATCTTTAAAGGATGACCAGGATGTTAGGAACATAAATTCACTGAGTCTTTAAGATAAATTCAATCATGACTTGGAACAAGCTTGTAGCGCTTATGAAATGTAACAGACAAAAACAAACTTGTGAAAAATATTGTTAATTATGAGAAAACATGATCGACTGCTTGGTCGTTTAATCACTGCAACCATTCTTTGATTAATTCAATTAAACGGACCACAAGTAGTGGACAGAGCTATAAGTGAGGACAACACTTTGTTCCTCAGTTGCTTCAAAGCAAAGACAGTAAAACTGGTGCTCATTACTCTTCTATACATGCATGCATGCAAACACATGCATGCACGTGGACATCCCTAGCAAATTATCATGGACCCCATTTCACCAGACATCTTCAGCATCAGACTTCACTGTACATCCATGGGATGGTTGCCTCCCACTACTCACCATAACCAGCAGATTTCCCGTTTTCTGAGGCGAAGTAGATGCCCCTCCCCACTCTCCCCCCACTGTGGGGCATGATGCGCAGTCCGCTTTTCAAGATGGCTGCCACGACGGCCACATTGGTTCCGTGCCACAGCAGCTTCCTGTTGTCAAGAGCCTTATGAGTTGAAAACCGAGAAGCCTGCAAAGCAAACAGTCAATTAACTTCGAGAAAGATATTTTATTCAGACATGTGGAAAGTTTATGAACATCTCGCACCACTGCAGTAAGCTAATTGTGACAGAAAATTTCATATTGTTAACAAATATACTATTCAAAACAAGTAAAGGAGCACATGATGCTTTCATATCACTGTAGTAATACCACTCAAATCAAATTAAGCTCAACACGATTCTTCTACATTATAACAGTAAATCTGTGATGATATGCCACAAACCAGAATCTTATCAAGGATTCCAAAGTTAGATTTTAGAACCACTGCCACGTACATCTTTGGGTGTACAAATGTCAGCTACACATAACCTACAGTCCACTATTTTGAGTTTCTTAATTCATACAAAAATAACCTTGCCCTTCCCCTAAACTCAAAAACTATAATTTCCTAGTATGCATAGTGTGCATGGTGCATGGTAACAGGACACAGTACTGACCTCGCCATCCCTGTTGACCTTCCAGATGTGCTGAATCTTGACCTTCCTGTAACCTTCAGTGGCATCCTTGTACTTGTTGAGAATCTGCGACAAAGGGAGGGTGGATTGTCATATACCTCAGGCATGTCATAGTAGGAAGGGCTGGTACCAGTAGATTGTCATATAGCTCGGTCATGTCATAGTAGGAGGGGCTGGTACCAGTAGATTGTCATATAGTTCGGTCATGTCATAGTAGGAAGGGCTGGTGCCAGTAGATTGTCATATAGCTCGGTCACGTCATAGTAGTAAGGTCTGGTACCAATACATTGTCATATTGCTCGGTCATGTCATAGTAGGAAGGGCTGGTACCAGTAGATTGTCATATAGCTCGGTCATGTCATAGTAGTAAGGTCTGGTACCAATACATTGTCATATTGCTCGGTCATGTCATAGTAGGAAGGGCTGGTGCCAGTAGATTGTCATATAGCTCGGTCACGTCATAGTAGTAAGGTCTGGTACCAATACATTGTCATATTGCTCGGTCATGTCATAGTAGGAAGGGCTGGTACCAGTAAATTGTCATATAGCTTGGTCATGTCATAGTAGGAAGGGCTGGTACCAGTAGATTGTGGATGGAATATCAACATAATTTCAATACAAAATCTACCAAACTGGAACGTTTTCTTTCCATAACCAGAACTTGGTGTCTTTGACTTAATGATTTTGTTTGTTATGTATAAAACTTCCTTCCCTGACTTTCAATGCTGAATGACCTTTAAAGATGGTGCTTGTTGTCACTGTTCCTGGGATTCAGCAGACTACAGACATACTCCTCACCTTGAATTCCTCACTTTTAGGATCAACAAGTTCAAGGCCACACTTGAGAAGGCCATAGTTGACATCAATGGGGTTCGGAAGAGCTGCATCCTTAGACTGAAATAACAAATCCACAGATGAAAATTTATAATCTCTTTATGACATGACATAAAAAAAACACACTTTAAATCATAACATTTTTCTTATATTTTTTAGTTTCAACAAAATCAGTAAACGTGCTATCATGTGAATGGCCTTGTGGTCCATCACTCGACTTTCTTGAAGGACTCCACCACTGCAGTGCCATCTAGGACATTCTTCCCCATACACTCAGTGGACAAAAGGAGTACTATACTGAGAGAGTGTAATTGTAATCCACAAATAACATATGTAACATTTGACCACAGTGGAGCAATGTACAATACCAGCATCCCAGTTGGAAATTACAACCAAACAAAACATAACAAAGTACATCCAAAGATGACTTACAGCTGCCATAGCTTTGTCCTTGTCTTTCTGTAGACTTTGAGCCAGCTCGATATCTCCCAGCACCTGAAACCCACATCGTAACATACATTAATAGTACCAAGTCCTGCCTTCATTCAGGAGCTGTGGAGGTCAAGGTCAAGCAAGTCAGTTGTTGTAGATACTTAAGATTTCTACAGGTCTCACATCTCATCCCTGTTATTGTATGTTCACTTCAGAATTCAAGATGAAAATGAGGATGAATTCAGACCATTTCATTCAGATCATTAGATGCAAATTGTGATGAAGTAACATCACTCATATACCACAAAAACACCAGCACAGGTTTACAATGAAACCAAAATACTAAACTTTGAGCAGTTTGGTATCAGTTATCTTTACTTTCAATAAACATGATAAATGGCAAATCATTTCTCTTACACCTTCACCATACTCAAAAGAGGTTTATTCATCAATTTATAAACATTAAGGAAGAACCAGAAGTCACAACTTACAGCCAACATGTCCATCTTCTTCTGAAGAGTCTCCGAGTCAGCAATAGATGGCGGAATCTTGCGACCGAAGTCATGTGGAATCACTGTGTAGAACCTCGACGACAGTTCCCTGAGTTTAGCCGCCGCTGGCTTGCTCTTCTTCAACTCGTCCTCAATCTCCTCCAAACACTCGAAGCCTTTAGCTATCTGTGCCTTGCTCAGTTTACCCAGTGGCATCTTCTTCACGTCAATGTCAAAGCTCTTCATGGCGTCTTTGAACATGTCAAGGTCGAAGATGAGATTCACCAGTTTCTGTGTGGTTACATGTAGAGTGCTCTCCTCTACCTTTCTTCCCTTGGTGTCTATCACAGGCTGAAACACAGATTCATAGGTAAAAAGTAAGTAATAGGGATTGTAAGTCTCGCGAGGTGCTACTTACAGTACTAAGCTGGTTCCCGGCAACCTTTGTGCAACCAGCTGACGATATGTGAGACGGGGCCAAGCTTACTTCCGATACCAGATTTCAAGTGACAAGCGTTTATTCAAGAGCCAGTTCAGGTTCCAAATTGCTTGACTGACAAATATGACTTTACTTGACCGGACCAAGTGTACAACCACGCTTGGCTGTCACAGCTGTTGAGAGTCTTAATAGTTGGCTAATTTGGGGATGGTTAGATCGGAAATTTGTTAATCCTGCAAGGATTATCGGTTCCTTACTGTCAGCTGACAACGATGAGACCATTCGAAAAGGTATGAAATGCTGTTTGTCACCGGAAGTTCTAAGGTCTCGCGAAATGCCATGACCTATTTATGGGTCCTATTTTCCCTGAAGTCCCAAGAGAGAGTGAAATGGGTTTCACACATTGTACCCATGTGGGGAATCGAACCCGGGCCTTCAGCGTGATGAGCGAACGCTTTAACCACATGGCTACCCCACCACTCCCTGAAGTCCCAAGAACAAACTATAGAAGTATATATGTGACACCTGATGAAGGTGTAAAAATATCCTCCAAAATGTTGTGTTCCTCATATTACAGAGGTTGACATCCATGAAATGTTCCCCTTAATGCATATCACTTCTAAATGTCATTCATGAACTTAAATTTGAACCTGCTGGTTTCATTAAAATTGTTGATAGGACTTCTTGTGACTGCAACACTTTAAAGCACAGGTGATTGGTAGTTAGTTATTCAGGATTTCAATGACAACAATCAGAAGGACCAGATTAGAGTTGGTCTACACGTCATGAGTTAATCCATGTTATAAGAGGCAACAAAACTTAAGATGCATAGATCAAAGCTGTTGCATTCAGTCACTGGATTTTCTGGTCCAGGATCAGGTGTTTATAGAAGTCCCTAACAAAGCTTGAATATTGCTGAATATGGTTTTCAATAACAAACAAGCATCGTATGTATCCTGGTTTCCGACGAACGCCACATCAACTGAACCTGAATGCCTGCTACGTGGCATGCTACCTGAGTGATACAACATCGTCTACATGAACTACTTACAGCATCAACTTCATCCTCCTCATCATCATTCGCCATCTCGATGAGAGTGTACTTTCCTGGCACAGGCTTGAAGCTGTCGCGGTTGGCCCATTTATTCCTGGTTTTGTCTTGAAACTTTTTCTCAAAATCTTTCGCTGCTGCATCTAGGGCCATTGGTCCCTTTAAGGCATTTGCACCAGACTCCCCCTTTAAAAATAAAACATGAAAATTCCATCATTTTTTAAATTACTCTCCACTCTTCAACAAAAACAGGGAAAAAATGATAACTTTCAGTGAGTAGATGCTGCGAGCTTTTAAAAGTATATTCAATAGTTTCATAGTAATAAATCTTATTATAGCCATAATAGTTTATTATAAAGTCAGCCGCCTAACCCGCTCAGCCACCGCCACTTCTACAAGTTAGGGTTAAGTAGCTGACTTTGTGTGCTGGCGATTAGGTGCCTGACTCTGAGGGTGTGGGTTCAAATCCGGATGGGACTCAACCCAACAAAAGTACTAGAATCTGTACTCCCAAATATAACATATGTTCCATTCTTGTCTTTAAAATAAAATAAAATATTGTAACATATCGACTTTAAAACATTTCTTTTATACACCTCTGGTATTGTCAGACATCACTATTTCATAGCCGGGTATTACCTCGACTCCCAAACAATCATTAGTTTTAACGGTCCCTACAGACACACTATGAGGGTCTCGTGAAGTAACAACTGTACGTTTTGATAACTTCCTTGGAACCTGGAATGAATCATTGATCATGTGGACTGATGGATGAAATGATGCACATGACTGCTATGGATGAAACAACCAAACACTTAGCAAAGTAAGAGATGTGTTGTGGGTACAGTGAATAACATTGTGCGTCTCTGTGGACAAATTGATTTTTTTTTCTGCAACCATTCTCTACATTTGTGCAAAACCCTGGATAATGATTCATAAACACATGCTCATGACATATCCGGAACTGTACAATCAACTGCTGTGTAGGGATATAGAGAGGGTTTTGTCCCTTTATATTCAACAACCTCAGTGTTTTCTGTCAGGAGAATAACAAGCCAAACCAGCCAAAATACGTGAGGAAGGCTCACTACAGTACTGTCGGAAATAGAAAAAAACCTTTTTCACATTTATATCTACAATTTAGGTAGTTAATATATGAAAGTGTGAAATATCTGTTAAACTAAATTCGGCCTAACTACAGTATCAGCGGTAGGGAGATAGGAAACTTAAAATAAAAACTATACTGAGGAGAGATTAGTGCAGAAATGAGCAATGCGGGTTTCTTCTAAGTCCAATGCGACTTATTTAGAACAGACAATGACTTTATGCAGATTAATGTGCGATGATATTGTATTACAAATGACACTTTTTAAATGCCCATTTTGAAATTAGACTTAGCTTCATTATAAACGATAGCCGACATAAAAAATAATAACTTTGAATGCTGAAACTATTAAGGATGTAGCTACCATGGAGTCTCACTATCACTATAAAAAGAAACAGGTAGGAGGGGTCGTCTCAAAGAAAAACCAGGAAGGGTGTTGCAGACGGTGGTTGGGGTCGGGCTGGGGGATAGAGATATCAACTATAAGATAAGATAATCAATAGAGACATATTCAATACACATGAAAAAGCATAAAATATGTTTGAGATGATCCCTTGTGCCTGTGCGCAGCACGTGCATTTCAAGCCAAGTGAGTCGAGGGTCCGTCGTTATACCTGGCTGAGGGACCTAATTGCCATCTATAGTCTGATCTATTGTTTTCAGCAGCTATTCGTATTTTTTCTAAGTTTTGTCCCATTTTACGAGTAAACATGCTTTTCTGGATATCCTAGCTATTACGCATCCCACTGAACGCCTAATTAGGCCGATGTGGGTTATTTCGACACATGCTATTTGCAATTGTTTATATTTTAGGGATACAGAGTAACAGCCTAAAAACAGTTTTTTTCTATTTCCGACAGTACTCTAATACCCCGATTCCCAACTTCAGCTGAACAACACTTAGGAATGACTATCCTTGACAAACATACATGATTTGTATCAAACTTCCTATAAACTTCCTAAAGGCCAATTCCCAAATCTGAAAAATACATTCACTAAATGATTATAAAGTTATTGGTTGAACAAATTTGTTGTGACACTATTTCCTGAGTTCAGGCGATGTAATTTGTGATAAGTCTTGATAAATGAAAAATATCACTACATAACTTTGCACTACACCTCACCTTTAGACAAAAAGAGCTGTTTTCCAAATTTGAAAACATTTTGAACAATATTTTTTAAGTTATTGGTTTAACAAACTTTTCAAATTTTTAAAATGCTGTAATTCTTAAAAATATATAAATATCATGATCAAAATTTGAATGGCACCTCTCCTTTAGACTTAGAACGCGGTCACCAAATTTGCTGGCTCTTTTCATATTTTACTGAAATAATAAGCAACTTTACTGAAAAAAACATCTCATCTAGTGCTAAAAGTTTCATAAACCAAAATCAGTCACTCCGAGAAGTTGCAAGTAACAGGACACCATCGTGCCACACTTACCACCCTGCCCCATCTGTTCCAGGTGTAGTACTTCCCACCGAGGGTCAGCACCTGTATCACGTAGTACTTGTTGTTGTTGTGGCCGATGTTCGTCTGGTTCAACATGCAGTCATAGTCATCCTCCACCTGCAGACAACATCGGCATATAGCAACTACTTCAACAATATTGGAACATGTTCACAGATTACACAGATTCCATACTGGTTGCCCTTGGGAAAAAAATCATTATTTTTATGAAAATCAGGATTATTAAAAGTTCTTATTTTCCAAAATTCTGAGGTATTTTTAACACTGCAATAATGGAAAAAAAACATCACTGAATCCTCTTCCTCTTTATTTGGCCAGGTGTCAGTGATTAAAGTCACCTGTACAAGGCCAGTTATAACGCCACTAACATGAAGTGGAATATTGTAATTCCAGTTTGGGAGTTTTTATGAACATTTGCACATTTGATCCAGGGTTGGNACTGGTATGGTAGATTATGGGACTATGTACTAGTATTGATATACCCTCCTGCACTATTTGATGATTCATAGCACCTGGTGTCATCACTTATTGAATCATTTGATAATGATTCATTGATGTCATCACTATTTGGTGTCATCATCATAAACACCTGGTGATACACCTGATGTCACACTTTGATGATTCATAAACACCCAGTGTCATCACTATTTGATATTGATTCATAAACACCCAGTGTCATCACTATTTGATATGATTCATAAACACCCGTGTATATTAAACACCCAGTGTCATCACTATTTGATATGATTCATCACTCATCACTATTTGATGATTTGATGATTCATCATAAACAATTCACCCAGTGTCATCACATCACTTTTGACAATGATTCAAAACACCTGATGTCATCACTATTTGATAATGATTCATAAACACCTGATGTCATCACTATTTGATAATGATTCATAAACACCTGATGTCATCACTATTTGATAATGATTCATAAACACCTGATGTCATCACTATTTGATAATGATTCATAAACACCTGATGTCATCACTATTTGATAATGATTCATAAACACATGCTTATGATATAGTTGGAATCATACAATTGTGTTTTGATAAAAAAAAGATATCATATATGGATGGTTTTGTCTGTTATATTTTTACAACATACCACTAAATGGGCCCTGGGTTTTCGTAACAGAATAGTGAATAAATGCTCTGGATACATAAGGATGGAACGCTCTCAAATAGGTTTTGTTGTCTAAAATCCCATATTCAGTGATATCCCATGGGCAGTGGTAGCCTAGTGGTTGAAGCATTCCCACGTGACGAGAAAACGCTGTTCGATTCCCCACGTGGGTACAATGTGTGAAGCCCATTTCTCGTGTCCCCTGCTGTGATATTGCTGGAATATTGCTAAAAGCATCATAAAACCTTACTCACTCTATTGCAAATATACAACGGTGGTCAGTACATATTGAAGTTTGGTCTAGACCATCCAGTGATTGATATCATGAGCTTGAATCTAAGTGTCATACACTTCTATGCTGAAGATCAGTTATAACCATGATTTTCACTGGGGAATGATCCCCTACTTGTCAGCTTACCTCATAGGAGGAACTGGATGGGATGAAGGAGTCGGGCTTGTGGGACTTCTTCTTGCCCGCGTCCGCTGCCTTCAGCGTCTTGATCTTGTCCTTCAGCGTAGTCGTCTCTTCCTCTTCCTCGACCTCCACCTCCACCTCGACCTTGGCCTTCTTGCCTCCAGCCTTGCCCTTCGCCTTCCCACCCTTCCGTTTTGGTGGCATGTTGACAATGTACTGTTATCTGTAAACCAAACACAGGTGCTGGGATATGGTCTTGTGGTATCCGTAACATTGTAGAAGGAGAATTTGGAATTCTCAGCATAAGAACTGTGAGGGTAGTGCTATATAAAATAGTATTGTGTAAAGATAGCATTGAATAACATAGCATTGTGTAAAGATAGCATTGAATAACATGGCATTGTGTGATGTTAAGCATTGTATAACATAGCATTGTGTGATGTTAAGTATTGTATAACATAGCATTGTGTGATGTGTCAGTTGAATAACATAGCATTGTGTGATGTTTAAGTATTGAAGAGTATTGAATAACATAGCATTGTGTGATGTTAAGTATTGAATAACATAGCATTGTGTGATGTTTAAGTATTGAATAACATAGCATTGTGTGAGGATAGTATTGAATAACATAGCATTGTGTGATGTTAAGTATTGAATAACATAGCATTGTGTGATGTGTAAGTATTAAATAACATAGCATTGTGTGAGGATAGTATTGAATAACATAGCATTGTGTGAGGATAGTATTGAATAACATAGCATTGTGTGAGAGTATTGAATAACATAGCATTGTGTAAGAGTATTGAATAACATAGCATTGTGTGATGTTTAAGTATTGAATATAACATAGCATTGTGTGATGTTTAAGTATTGAATAACATAGCATTGTGTGATGTTTAAGTATTGAATAACATAGCATTGTGTGATGTTTAAGTATTGAATAACATAGCATTGTGTGATGTTTAAGTATTGAATAACATAGCACTGTGTGATGTTTAAGTATTGAATAACATAGCATTGTGTAAGAGTATTGAATAACATAACATTGTGTGATGTTAAGTATTGAATAACATAGCATTGTGTGATGTTTAAGTATTGAATAACATAGCATTGTGAGGATGTGTGATGTTTAAGTATTGAATAACATAGCATTGTGTGATGTTTAAGTATTGAATAACATAGCATTGTGTGAGGATAGTATTGAATAACATAGCATTGTGTGAGGATAGTATTGAATAACATTGCATTGTGTGAGGATAGTATTGTATACGATTGCATTGTGTGAGGATAGCATTGTGTGAGGATAGCATTGTGTGATGTTTAAGTATTGAATAACATAGCATTGTGTGAGGATAGTATTGAATAACATAGCATTGTGTGAGGATAGTATTGAATAACATTGCATTGTGTGAGGATAGTATTGTATACGATTGCATTGTGTGAGGATAGCATTGTATAAGATAGCATTGTGTGATGTTTAAGTATTGAATAACATAGCATTGTGTGAGGATAGTATTGAATAACATAGCATTGTGTGAGGATAGTATTGTATACGATTGCATTGTGTGAGGATAGCATTGTGTGAGGATAGCATTGTGTGATGTTTAAGTATTGAATAACATAGCATTGTGTGAGGATAGTATTGAATAACATTGTATTGTGTGAGGATAGTATTGTCTACGATTGCATTGTGTGATGGTAGCATTATATGAAATCACATTTGGTGAGGTTAGTAATGTATAACATAGCTTAGCATCCCATGTAGATAGTATTGCATAAAATAACATGGTAGCTGTAAATCATTGTACAGCAGATTTGTATCAGGGTAGTGTTATGCAAAAGTAGTGTTGTGCTAAGGTAGTGTTGTGCAAGGATAGTGTTGTGCAAGGGTAGTGTTGTGCAAATGTAGTGTGGGTGTGGACTTGTTAGTGACAAATACTCATTTTATTCCATTTTACCTTACCAGTCAGACAGGTTATTCCACAATTGCCAATACCCCATATTAAACTCCAGTTCTCAATGCTACAAGTTCCTTCTTTCAGGACATTCTATGGTGGACATGCTGGGAATGTTATCAACACAGTGTGTATAACAAACACACTATGTACAAGGAGGTGATTATCTTCAACTACCTTATCATGTTATTGCCAGTTACAGGGGCAAAAGGGGCGGTGGGGTAGCCCAGTGGTAAAAGCGTTTCCTCCATGCCGAAGGCCTGGGTTCTATTCCCCAATATGGGTGCAATGTGCCAAGCCCATATCTGGCGTCCTCTGACATTGGTTGAATATTTTGAAAGCAGTATAAAACCCAACTCACTCACACACAAAAGTAGCCAAAAGCGAGGTGTTTGGGGGAAGCAGTTTGCCCTGGCTATCACTCTGAAGGCCTGGGTTCTATTCCCATGCTCAGTAAAAAGTGTCAAGGGTTGGTTTCATCCTGCCCCATGATGTCATACTGCTGGAATGATGCACAAACCCATCTTACTCACTCAAGGGCCTAATATATACATAAAATTATTCTCCTAAAATTTTACTTCAGTTGAACTAAAATTTTAGTAAAATCTTTACCCTAACCATGAGCAGGAAGTGCCCTTCTTTAACGTCTGTCACAAGAAACTATTTTGCAATACGTTTCAAAATGTGAGTCCAAGCATAAACCTGTAATTCAGAGCTCACAAGTTTTCAAAATGTTCAAAAATTATTTCACTGATAAGGTATTCAGTATGAAGCTTTATGTAAAGATAAAATATATTTGTGAACAATATAAACAGATACTCTACACTAACTACACGATGTTATTATTCAATGCATTGAAGATTCATGGCACCGACATGTATTATGTACCAACTAAACAGGTGAGCCTTCATTCTGGATAGCAAGCCTGTGTTTGTGTTTGTGTAGCCATGTTACCCAGCACTCCATAACCACCTCGTTATAACGCGGTTATCTGGTTGTGCAACACACACCAGTTAATTATGGAGACAACCACACAGGGTCACAATCATATAGAGGGAATGCTTTAACATATTCATGTAAGAGTGTGTCATGGCATGTGAATGGGCTAGCACTATAACACAGGAATCAGTCTGGACTAGCACACACAAACAAACTAACAAACAAAACACAAACAAACACACATATATGCAAAAACTTAGATGTAAGATATTTACTGAGATGAGGAATACATATGTAATTCTTGTCACTGTAATTAATCTCTCTTTAATGTTTCCTTTAATTATTGAACATTCTCACAATTCAAATGAAGTTAAAAAATGCTAAATGTTCTTCACATCACATTATTGTTTGTTGTGTTTAATGCTGCATCCAGCAATATTCCATACAGACCAGACAATCCGGTGATCTACAGCATGAGCATCGATCTACACAATTGGGATACAATGACATGTGTCAACTAAGTCAGCAAGCCTGACCAACCAATCCCATTAGTTGCCTCTTAGTGTTATGACAAGCTTGGGTTACTTAAGGCAAATCTAATCTGGATTTTCACAGGTTGATATCACATTAATGAACAAAATGGTAGAGTTTAGAAACACAACCACCAGCACAAGAAATTGTTGCTTAGGACTCACTACACTCCCAGTCCTTCAACCACATTATTATCCTGTCCGCCAGCCCTCCCTGCAATGCTAAAGCCCTTCATGAAGCAAGTCTAGATTTCCTCAGGTTCAATCTCCCAACTCACTGTGGCTCCTCTTCAGTTTAAATGGAATTATTGATTGTATCAAAATTCTATATACTAAGAGACTAAGCATTTGTTAAAGAATTCACTTGCCAAAGCACTTAAAAGCAAAGCTGTAGCCAGAGATTGGGAGATTGTGTGAACTGAAATGGATGGCTGCTATCTTGGGAGGGTTGTTGTGACACCCCAGTGTTCAGGAAGCTGTGTTATTTAACTGTGTGATAAACTGAAGCACATAATGTATAGATTTATAGGTATCTGGGTTGTCCTTGTTGTATGATATATATGTTTATAGATTTATAGGTATCTGGGTTGTCCTTGTTGTATGATATATATGTTTATAGATTTATAGGTATCTGGGTTGTCCTTGTTGTATGATATATATGTTTATAGATTTATGGGTTGTTTATATGTTTATAGATTTATAGGTATCTGGGTTGTCCTTGTTGTATGATATATATGTTTATAGATTTATAGGTATCTGGGTTGTCCTTGTTGTATGATATATATGTGATATATATATGTTTTTATGATATATATGTTTATAGATTTATATATCTGGGTTGTCCTTGTTGTATGATATATATGTTATATATGATTTATAGGTATATCTGGGTTGTCCTTGTTGTATGATATATATGTTTATAGATTTATAGGTATCTGGGTTGTCCTTGTTGTATGATATATATGTTTATAGATTTATAGGTATCTGGGTTGTCCTTGTTGTATGATATATATGTTTATAGATTTATAGGTATCTGGGTTGTCCTTGTTGTATGATATATATGTTTATAGATTTATAGGTATCTGGGTTGTCCTTGTTGTATGATATATATGTTTATAGATTTATAGGTATCTGGGTTGTTGATATATATGTTTATAGATTTATAGGTATCTGGGTATATATATATTTATAGGTATATCTGGGTTGTCCTTGTTGTATGATATATATGTTTATAGATTTATAGGTATCTGGGTTGTCCTTGTTGTATGATATATATGTTTATAGATTTATAGGTATCTGGGTTGTCCTTGTTGTATGATATATATGTTTATAGATTTATAGGTATCTGGGTTGTCCTTGTTGTATGATATATATGTTTATAGATTTATAGGTATCTGGGTTGTCCTTTTGTTGTATGATTTATATATATATGATTTTTATGGGTTGTCCTTGTTGTATGATATATATGTTTATAGATTTATAGGTATCTGGGTTGTCCTTGTTGTATGATATATATGTTTATAGATTTATAGGTATCTGGGTTGTCCTTGTTGTATGATATATATGTTTATAGATTTATAGGTATCTGGGTTGTCCTTGTTGTATGATATATATGTTTATAGATGTATTATATGTTTATGGATTTATATATGTATTATAGGTATCTGGGTTGTCCTTGTTGTATGATATATATGTTTATAGATTTATAGGTATCTGGGTTGTCCTTGTTGTATGATATATATGTTTATCAATATTGGGGCCAGATATGATGGTAGGAGCAGGGTTTCACCTTGACCTTCAAAACTAGGGTACCAGAGGACCCCTGATTACTATTTTCAAGTATAGTAAGATTAAGATTTGATATTTATTTATAATCACAGGAACATTATAATACTTGTCAAGAATCTGGTTCAAGGTATGTTATTGCGATTCCTTCAAGACCTACTATATTCGTTCCTGCACCTATTCTATACATTTCTGCAAACTGTTTAACACATTTCTAGGGGGTGTAAAACCCAATAGGTGTAATTGAAGTACAGTGATCACCAGTGTTTTTAACTCCTTTGAGTAGTATTTACCTGCATAACTTAAATCTATTCTCTGGTTATTGTATGTGAAATATGAATTAAATATTGCTAAAACTCATCCTTAATGCATCTAATTATAAACACACACAAGGGTGCAAGGTCATAGTGCAACTACTCTAAGTTCAGTCCCATGAACACAAACTTCAAGTGTATGAATTCATATCAATTAATCCGTTAAACCTTTTCGTCAACCGCTATGTGCCTGGCATTTGCCATTCAGCTTGTTGAAATATCAACCAGGAACACTACATTGATATTCCGAGAATCTCGTGGAGCTGTGTGTTTGCTGGGATGTGTGGCATACTGTGCATAATAATCTCATTCTTCACGTGCAGATGGAAATCTATATGCATGTACAGTTGAATGACCTAATAATGCAAGCAACGGTCACATTGATCTAACGGTGACCTTGTGCCCTATTTATCATTCTTAGACGTGAACGAGCAGGACGTGTGCATTTCGCGCGTGCGTTATAACGAGGGGATATCCTGGAGCTGTAACCCGGTGAGAACTAGCCGCAGACACACCTTTTATCTATCGTCTCTTGATAAAGCGAGATGTATATATCCAGGCCATGTTTACTTTGATCCTTTCAGCCTTTGCCCCTGCATATCAGACAAACACTGACCGCAGTGGGGCCTCATATTCCAGCTATCGCTTACACACATCCTGAACAGTTGGCCATACAACGCCGGCCACAACAAGTGCCACGCCCACCATTTGGAGGCCCTGTTGAGGTTGGCAGAACGGGTTTTATGAATGGTTATATCAGTCTTATGCGAAGACATATTCACAAAGAAACAATACATACATACACGCTGGGATATAATCAACGACATTTGCACCAATAACTTTGAAATATGTATATACTTCAATAGATCAGCTAGTATTAACGGTGCAGTGAGCTTTCGGGAAGAGAATTAATCAATACATTTCTGCAATCTACCACATCTTCAAGTGGTGGCGTTTCTCCACCATTTATTCTAAATCATATACTTAATGCAGATAATTACACACAAAACGCATTACCTTATCGTTAGACAACGATTGTTGAGAGAGAAAATATCCACAGGCTGAAACACAACCGGCAGCTGGAGTCGTTAGCTCGGCTCTATCGCTCTATATACCGGCCGGCCCGACATGTCTATACACGATAGCTCTCAGCCAATCAAATTGGAGGGATCGGGCGACGTCACGATCGGGTCTCTACACGTACAGAGGTATGTTGCAATACCTGTGTTTTTATTTACTTGCACGTTGTGTGGGAAAATGGCTGAGTCTCAGCTCTACTACATGGCCTGTGACGATAACTTTTCATATAACAAATTACATGTGCTATTAATAAACTCGAGGTAATTCGTTTGATAAAAGTGAGGATACTCGTCTGGCGTGTGGGAGGGAATCAAGTGGTCACAATGGCCGCTCATTTTGGATAATGCTTGAATTAAAACACTCTCTGGGTGGCGTTCAACGTCCTTTTATTTTGTATATATACGTACACATTACTCTCCAGAAAGAACTCTGCGCTCATCACAACAACTGTTACTTGCTGTCCCGAGCTAAAATCTAAAATCATTTGGCTCAAGAACCTTTTCATATGCAGCAGCTTCTCTGTGGAACTCTCTCCCTATCGAGTTAAAATCATCTCCTTCCCTAAGTACATTCAAAACACGACTAAAGACTCATCTATTTCTCCGCTACAAGTGACTTCCAATCATCCGTACCAGCCAGCTGTATATAGTTTTAACTTGAGCTCAGGAAGCACTTTGAGCATATCCCTGTGACGTGGAAAGGCGCTATATAAATGGCCTATTATTATTATTATTATTATTACTACACGTCTGTTATATAAATCAGAAGAGTTGTTGAATGTTGATTAACACCGCAATAAGCAAGATTTAAACGGTATTTATATGAGATACATCGGCAGGCTAGTGGTCGATAACATGAGCAACTACCCACGCGGTCTGTGTACAGTATGGTGACCCAGCGAATCAGGTTTCGCCATCAAGAGGCTATATTTTGCAGTATTACTCGGAATGGGAGGAAGCTTTGTGGTTAATGTGTCACCCAGTTGACTATCAGCTACCACTGGTATGTCTGCTCCAGCCTCGAGGACACTTTGTTGGCTGTCGTCTTGTGGTGGATATCATTTTATGCCGCTTGAAGCAATAATCCAGGAAAACAGGAGTGAGAATGGTTTTACGCCGGTTTCAGCAATACTCCAACATGAAGGCCAGGGACATCAGATACGGGCTTCACACTTGTATCCAATGTGTTGTGGGGAATCGTACCCGGGTCCTCGACGTGGGGAACGCTTTACCCACTAGGCTACTCCACCACTCTCAGGGAAGCAAGAACTGTGTTTGGAATTCGACTGGTGGTGTATACTATCAGCCATTAAAAGTATACAAGTCGTAGGCCTATTCGGGAAGTTACTTGAATTAGTTGAAATACAGCAATTCAGAGGTACAGATAAGCTGTGTATCTGCGTAAATTACGCAAATATTTATGTGAAAACTCAATTCCTATTAAGTCTATTGCGTACAAGTACGCTTGAATTTTTGTAAATACTCAATAAATGTGATCTTACATGCGTACACACAAAAATGTCAAATCTTGTGTACCGGTGGATAGATAATATAACATATAAAATAACTGAGGTATATATTGAGAGGTTCTATTTCAGGACATGAACTTGACAACTTGCAGTCTTTCTTATCGTTTTTCATATTACAGATCAAATATAAATAACAAACACTAACATTTAAACTTTATTGTATGTTTAAAATTAATGGAAAATGGCAAAATACCCAATTGAGTTTGAGTGAGGTGAGTACAATTTATTTGGTTAGTCAAAGGAAAATTAGGATACTCAATTGAGATGAGTGAGTGAGTGAGTGAGTTAATATTTAACGTCACATCGCAATTGAGATGAACACAAGAGAGTACATAACTCAATGACCCAAAATGTTATCTGCAGCTCTGCAGTGAGTGAGTTTGGTTTTACGCCGCACTCAGCAATATTCCAGCTGTATGGCGGCGGTCTGTAAATAATCGAGTCCGGACCAGACAATCCAGTGATCAACAGCATGAGCATGAATTGGGAACCGATGACATGTGTCAACCAAGTCAGCGAGCATGACCACCCGATCCCGTAAGTCGCCTCTTACGACAGGCATAGTCGCCATTTGTGGCAAGCATGGGTTGCTGAAGACCTATTCTACCCCGGATCTTCACGGGTCCTGTAGCTCTGAGCAATGCATTGTGGTGACAGGTCTAATGGATCCAATGTCTGTCCGAAGATACAACGTATATCGTGCCACGCTAAAAAAAACAACAAACAAATGATCCCGAAGTTGCGTCTAAAGAAGCAATTGATTTTATCATAAATCAAGACCAATGGAAACAGAAATAGGGCTTATTCATTGGGAAGGAGCACATCATTTCAAAACAGCTAAACGCCTTAGGTTCAGTACACCGGTGGAGAACACCGATCGAATGGCTTGTATAGGCAGATCAGTGGAGTCCTCGGGGAAGGTCGAGGTTTTCCCTATCTGTCTCGGACACGCATCTGACAGAACTCCAGATAAGCTTAACGGTGTTCGATATCGGTGTAGGGAGCCGGAAGCAGGGGTCGCGTGTTCGACAGATCAGACTAGTCTAGAGCTATACGCGTTTCGCTCAATAGACGGGGCCCCACATATCCCAAGAGATACATCTATCAGAAACACAACGGAGACAAGCTGGAATTCGAAACGGTGGCTTTTCGTATACCATGAACTAAATCCGAATTTAACCCACTGGATAACAGCATGAGAGTTTTAATATACATATCAGGGGCGTAGCGGGGGCTTATCCCTTTATCCCCCACTTTTCAAGACGAAACCATTTATCTACTTTACCATAACTACAATTTCATTTTGATTTTCAATACTTTTCAAAAATAACACACACACCCATCCCCCACCCTACCCCCCGCTCTGAAAACCGTTCCTACGTCCCTGCACATGTATGATGTATATTCACTCTAAGTGTGGCTTGGTCAATACACGTGAAGATATTTCGCTAAAAAGTCCAGTGGTGAGTGAGTGAGTAAAGGTTACTTTAAATCTCATCATCATGACTGAAGCTATTCCCGGCTACCTGTGGTAAGAGAATGGGTGGGTTGTATTTTGTAGGCAGTGGTTGTCAAATAATCTGGCTTGGTTTGAAAATACGATTGTTAGACTGTTTTTGATTGACCCATGCGACTTGACCCTAGGTCCTAAACTAGGTCAACCAGATTACCCATCAAACTGTAGCATGTTTCATACTTAAAGATCTTCCTGCTCACCACCCGTGTATTGGGGCGCGGATTATTGTAGGGACTTTTGCTCTGGAGTCACTCTAAATGAGGGTACCCCCTTACTCCAGGTATCCAGAATACCACTTAAGGTATCCTGGTATCCAATTAAAGAACTTTTGAGTCATATCAATGTACACAGCTGGTATTAAGGAGGCCAACATTACACTATATGTTTAACCTAGAACACATTACTATTCGCGCTCATGAATATATTGATTTGTCATTTTGCAAGAGCAGGACGCGACCAGACTGACCCGGTTGTCAAGATCGATGACTCCTACTTGAGTCCGGTGGTTGGCTTGGTGACATCGTTGGTTACGTGACTTCATGAAAAACTGGCGTGAGTTGTTGCTCATAATGTTGATCACTGGTTCAGCTGGAGCAGACTCGATCATTTACAGGCCACCGCCATATAGGAGGCATATTCCCGAGTGTCACATTAAGCAAACAGCCTGTTCTCGTGTTCTCTGAAATACAAGGTTATCCTTGTACGACATATCTACAAAGGGAGGAGAGTATAACATGTCTGCAGGTAACAGTCGGAAAACATAAATTCCTAAAAACACGTTGTTTGTGCGCATGCGCATATCTACCTTACTACAAGTAAAGCAGTTTCCAAGAACAGACATATATTGAAGGAGTTAAAAGCGACTTTTATACAGGCCATGATATGAACTTTTCCAGATGAACGACGTATATTCGTCTTTGTCCAGATTAAAAGCAGATTTTGAGGGTCAAAAATGTTTTTAACATTTTCACAATTTTCAGTTTTCGTGCCTCTTCTCGTACTTGGCTGGCTGCTCTAGTGTCACAACGAATGTTTGTTGCAAGTTTTAGCGATAGTGCCCTTGAAACAAGAACTAAGAGATTGAGTCACGCCCAGCGTCATGGGCTTTGTCCCCGACTTGGACATTATAAGTGTTTCACTGGTCACGAGGGGGGCATGGGTTGATGTACCCTCGATGTTTGTTCGGGTTAGATTGAATCTTCAGCAACCCATGCTTGACATAACGGGATCGGGTGGTCAGGCTCGCTGGCTTGGTTGACATGTCATCGGTTCCCAACTGCGCAGATCGATGATCATGCTGTTGATCACTGGATTGTCTGGTCCAGACTCGATTATTTACAGACCGCCGACATATAGCTGGAATACTGCTGAGTGCTCACTCACTCAGTTCCAAAATTGTAATATTCGGTTGTCTTGAGTGAATAGCTGCTATTTTAAAAACAAGATTATGCGCATATGACATATTTAGAGGAATACGTATACAGCAAAAAATGAATATTAATAGTGTCTAAGAACAGCCCATTTAAAATAAATAAATAAAACAAACATGACATTTCATGACAGCTGACGCCCGTGTATGTTCCTAGTCTGACTATGTGCCCAATGCATCATGGATGTTGTACCAGCCAACCACTATGTGGATTGGAAGGATTACCCCTGTGATTCGGTTGATTGCTCGTCGTCATTCAAAGATGACATCTTACTCATTCAGCCTCTCTATTTGTTCCGTCTTCTGTACAGAGCGAGTCATCGGTGGTTTGTGGTTTTAAAAAACACTCCTCACTCATTTACAACCAGTGGGCAGGGTGGCCCCGTCGTTTCTCCCCGTACAGTTGCCTCCCTTGGGTATGCCAGAAACATATCTGGTTCGAATCCCGGTTAGCACTGATTATGGTTTGACGGCACCTATATGTGGTTGTGGATTTCACCAAAGTGGTACACGTCTGAGACCTACATCATGTCACGTGACTACATGATGTGACACGCCGAGATGTAACTGGAATACAGTTG